GAAGGCAGCGGCAGTTTCGCTGGGTGAGCGCTGGGAACTCAAGATTCATGTCCATCGCAAAGAATGGCAGCGGCCGAACTTGAGTTTGTCCGGTGTCTTGCAGACCAAAATATCTGCAGATCTCTTCTGAGCTGTTTGTTCTTCCCTACAAGAGGTGTGTAGTTGTGAGACTGATATACTTGCAATTCCACAAACAATTCAACTACCAGCAACGTTCGTATTACCGCCTCCGTAGCAGACCTGCCAGCTGCAGATGTAGTTACGGGCTACGCCAACCCATACAACGCAAACCATCTCCACACAAGAACCCTGCGCAACGCTCATGGGAAAACACGCAGCGCGCATCAAAAAACAAAGCGCAAACACAACGATGCAAGCGTCTGCCTTGCGCTCGCCTAAAAAGTCTATGGGTCGGGGCATAGCGGCATCGTGTTTGTGCAAGTCTGCGAAACTTCTTTTACATGTTTTGAGCTGTTTGTAGCTTCTACTTGGGCATCGTAGTTACAAACAAGTAACTCGGAAGTCGGTCCATTTTCGATTGCAATTTCGTTGGGAAATGGGACGCGTATTTTGCTGTCATTCTGCCTTTGTTATCCAAGGGTTCGACGAGGTTCGTCCAAAAATGTCTTTTTTTGGTGAAAGTCTTCAAGTGTGGATCACGTCGCATTCTAAACACAGCTTCGCGATGTGACGTGACCATGTTCCCCCCAAAGATCACTATGCGACCTTTGCTGCTGATTTCGAGCCAGTTTGAAAAACGAAATGCTGCGCGTGTCTTCAGTGATATTGCGTGTGAACTTCATGCGTGCATACCTCACCTTACTACTAGACTTGGACGCTCCGCCTTACAATCGAAGGCTTGTCCAAGTTTTCGGACACTTCACTCAAAATTACAATTTCGTCAGTACGTGAAACTTCCACTCTCATGCTCCAGCTGCATTCAGGTCTTCATTCCCAGCATCTTCGTTCATGCTAGAAACAAAACGTAGAGCAGCGGACACAGGTGGTGGATCCCATTGTTCACATTCTTCTTCTGACTCAACAATTATTTTCTCGTCCACTCACCCACCTTTCATAGCATCCCAGAAGAGGATCAGGTCCATGGCTCTTCACGCCGTCAGAGTCTTCGTCTTGCTGACAATCGTTCTGATATATATATATATATCTCAATTGACCCCTTTCACACTTCGCGCTGGTCACGTGAAAGGTATCGCCGCCAGCGCTGTGCGCAAGATCAGCAACCGCGCGACAAGAGGAATGGACAAGTTTGTCGTCCTCATCTGGCAGTTCACATCTGGCTACTCGCGTTCTTTTGAATCAGCCGGGTGACACGTCGAACAGTTTCCGAGAAACTCTTCTCTCACGCAAGGGAAAGGTTTTAATATACTAGGTTGCCAGCCCCCTGGACCCAGTCCAACTCACCAACAGTGATGCCTGCTTCACCGAGATTATGATTCCTTCAACCGCTTCAATAGGCATGTGGGAGCTAGGATTCGGCTTCTATTGGTTTTGGATGTGGCTCAATCGCTGACACTGAAGAGTTCAAGGTTCTTACAGTAAATTTCTTGCAATTCTGGCCGCCCGTGCTGAAATCTCCCGACAGGTGAAAAGTGCGCACTTTGTCGTCTTTTCTTCAACTTCGAAGTGGTGTCTGCTGTGCTTAGGAGGAAATTCGCCAGCTTCAGTGAGCCATTCATCAAACCCAAATCCTCGTGGGGGTAGCCGCGTATTGTATGTCCACCTTCTCTTGGACAACGCGCCAAGCAAAAATGTTCAGCGCAGCTGAACGAAATCTCTTTTCCACTCGAGCCGGTGGTTTTTCTTCAACTTGCAGCAATGCAAGCTTGCAGCTGGATGATGACATAACTCCGCCTTTTTCAGCCATTAAGAAGTATCACTGACGTCACTTTCTGGTACCGCGAGATCTTACGTGGTATACAGCGAGAAAAGCCCGCCTGGCTGAGATGCCCCACCTCACTGCTCATCTTCACCATCGCTATCTCCACGCTCGTAAGAGGGCGTATCCCTCAACCTATTGCGGCTCCTCATCAGGCCTCTTCTTCTGGGCCCTTCTGCTCCGCCTTTGGCAGATGGATCATCTCGCGACTCTTGCAGTAGCTCCGAATAGGTTCTGTGATTGCTGGTCTCTCAATCTGATCAATCTGAATCTTCGTCCATCATACCTTATCGCCCAACCTTTCCAAGCAATGTTGCACCATTCCATGTCTCTCCTCTTTTCCTCATGGCCCTGACCTATTCATCTGTGATCCTTGCCCAACCAACCATATGCCTCCGCGCCACTTCGAGCGGCACTTCGGTCGAGGTCGGCCCAAACAAAAGTTTGTTCACCAAAGCAGGAAATTCTTCCTTCGTATTATGGTCTGCCTCGCAAGCAATGCGCGCAGCCAAGCCTGCAGTGTTAGGCTTGCGATATCGATTCAGCAACCCAGCAGCATACATCATGGCCCAAGAATGCATTACATGGCTGTCCCCAAGCGCAATTCTTGATTCTTGCGCTCTCTTCAACATGCGCCGCCGGCGTCTTGCGCTGCGGTCTGAGCAGATCGTTCTGCCAAGCTGGTGTGTTACCGCTGTAAAGTTTACCAGCGTGCAATAGTGCCTCACGGCCATTGTCGCTGCCAACCTGCTTGCCTACAGCCTGCAGGCAAAATCGCTTCATTGTCAAGAACAATCTGGACATGATCAAAATGGCAAGCGCCTGCTAGGAATCTGGCAGCCGCTTTTCCAACTGCTCCAGCATTCTTGCTCTTCAGTGGAAAGACAGAAACTCCATCCGTCCAGGATGAGCAAGTTTTGTGAAACATTTTTGCTTTCGAACCTGATTGCTGAATTTCCAACTTGCAAGCGCATTTCCAACAAGCCAACCGCGATGCAGCTCGATGTCCTTGCCACAAGCCTGTCGTGCATCACCAACGTGGCACCTCGATGTCCTAAGGTCTTCAAGGGCATACCTTGACAATCCTGAAGGCGCGCGTCGTGACGTTCATGAATGGGATGACTCGAACTCAAAGGAAACAGGGAAACCAGATCCGTGTCCGCTGTGACATTTCAACTTTGTTCGCGTTCGCTAGCTTCTGTCACTTCTTGAATGAAAACATTGATGGAGGTCCTCCATAATAGAAAATCCTTCGAGCTGTGTTGAAAGTGGACTTGCTGGAAGAGATGGTTGCGACGCAGGAATTGCAGTCACTGATGTTCACTTGCAACTGAACCAAATGCTTGCCTCTGTAGCATCACTGGTTGTGATTGAGGTTTCAGCTATGTGACTTGTCGAACCCTTGGTGGGCAATCGCGGGACCAATGACCAAACGCGTTGCAAATCCTGCGCTGATTCTGGCCCAGTTCCCCTTCGCCACCCTGCTTTGATTTGCTCCTTGTCTGTCCTTTCTGCTTTCCTTGTGTGACTTGCTTTTTCTTTCTCCTGCGCCACAGCCACGGCCTTTGCTTTACTGCGGCCACCGCCACCATAAAGCAGTGGGCCACACCACGATTTGCAGGTATTTCCACAAACAGTTTACTGTTAGGAGTTCTCAATTCTTTCTTAAAATGTGTCCGCCCTTTGTGTCATTGCTGGTGTCCGCCCTTTTCCGCTGGCCATGTAGCATTTCTATTCATTTGTCCCCAGGTCTGTCACTGCTGGTGTCCGCCCTTTTCCGCTGGCCATGCAACATTTCTTTTCATTTGTCTCCCAGGTCTGTCACTGCTGGTGTCAGCCCTTTTCCGTTGGCCATGTAGCATTTCTACTCGTTTGTCTCTCAGGTCTGTCACTGCTGGTGTCCGCCCTTTTCCGCTGGCCATGTAGCATTTCTATTCGGTCGCGAAGCAGTTTACTGTTAGGGGTTCTCAATTCTTCTTTAAGATTTGTCCGCCCTTTGTGTCACTGCTGGTGTCCGCCCGTTTCCGCTTTTGTCTCCCTTTGTGTCCGGTCTTGTCTCCCTTTTTGTTGGTCACTGTGTCCGTCTTGTCTCTGTTTGTTTGCTTTTGTCTCCCTTCTTGTCTTGCTTGTTGTTGGTCACTGTGTCCGCCTTGTCTCCCTTCACTCTTTCTTTGTCTCCGGTCTTGTCTCGTTTCTTGTGGGTCATTGTGTCCGTCTTGTCTCCCTTCTGTTTCTTTTTGTCTCCGGTCTTGTCCCCCTTGTTGTTGGTCACTGTGTCCGTCGTGTCTCCTTTTTTGGTCACCCTTCTTGTCTCCCCTCCTGGCTGGTCATTGTGTCCGCCTTGTCTCCCTTTGTCTCCGGTCTTGTCTCCCTTCTTGTTGCTAACTGTGTTCGTCTTGTCTCCCTTCTGTTTCCTTTTGTCTCCCGTCTTGTCCCCCTTCTTGATGGTCATTGTGTCCACCTTGTCTCCCTTCTGCTTCCTTTGTCTCCGGTCTTGTCTCCCTTCTTGTTGGTCACTGTGTCCGTCTTGTCTCCCTTCTGCTTCCTTTGTCTCCGGTCTTGTCTCCCTTCTCGTTGGTCACTGTGTCCGTCTTGTCTCCCTTCTGTTTCCTTTTGTCTCCCTTCTTGTCTCCTTTCTTGTGGGTCATTGTGTCCGTCTCGTCTGACTGCTGTGTCCTTTTGTATCTCTTCTTGTCTCCCTTTATGTCTCCCTTCTTGTTGGTCATTATATCCACCTTGTCTCCCTTCTGCCTCCCTTTGTATCCGGTCTTGTCTCTCTTCTTGTTGGTCCGTGTGTCCGTTTGGTTTCCCTTCTGTTTCTTGTTGCCTCCTTTTTTGTTGGTCATGCGTCTTGTCTCTCTTCTGTTTCTTTTCGTCTCCCTTCTTGTTTCTCTTCTTGTTGGTCATTGTGTCCGCCTTGTTTCCCTTCTGTTTCTTTTCGTCTCTGTCCGTTTTGTTTCACTGTGTTTCTTTTTGTCTCCCTTCTTGTTTCCGTTCTTGTTTGTTATTGTGTCCGTCTTGTCTCCCTTCTTGTTGATGTCTCAAAAAGTGGACTTGGGAATGCTTCGTTGTTGTCTAACCTGTTTGGGGTCTACGGTGGTGTAATTTTTCACGTTTGCGCAGTTTCTGCTCCCCCCGTCTTCAAGACGATCGACGTGGGCGCCGGCCCATTCACTTTAGAAGAGAAACCAACCTCAAAATGCTCTCCTGGCTCTATGGCTTGCTGCTCTTCTTGTGGACGCGAGCTGCCTCCTCGATTTCACTGCAGGATGCGTGTTCTTTAGCCATCAGCTGAAAATGATGGCGCAGGTTTGCTTCTGCGCGCCTGATGAGGGTAGCTGACTTCAGCTCATCGGAATTAGCGGTGCCTGGCACATTCTAAACCTGGTGCACCAGCATGGCTCAGAATGTGGATTTGTCCTTTCGGTTTGAAAAGAATTCTTTGTGGAGTTGTTTCCATAGATGGAACCAACCCTTGTTCTTCAACTCCGACCGAACAAGGCTCACGCGTTTGGCGAGACCCCTTCTGCGCTGTACTTTGCCACTGTGTGGAGGGCCACAGTTGAAGGTCTCTGGCTTGCTCAGTGCCTCTGAAGCAGCCTCAGCTGCAAGTGCTCTTGACGACCTTACTTTCATTGTCCTGCGTCTAGCCATCCTCTTGTCTCAACACAGGTCAAACGCTTTGAGCCAAGGCCCAAGTGGCTTGTGAACATCGAAAGACTCAGCCACTCACACTCGTGTTTATCTGCAGCAAAAGTGCGCGCCCACCAATTTCGCTGGGTCGACCCCACGCCAGCTCACAGTCGAAGCCACTGTTCCGCCGCAGCGCAAGGCTTGATCACCCTTGACTAGCAAATGGGCAGCCAATAGTGCGCCAGCTTGTCGAATCCGTCGGTGTGGAGCGAGTGCACGCTGTTCACACTCATCTGAAGAAGCAAGCCACCGCAGTTTCCAACCCCTCCATTCCAAAGTGAGCTGACCATTGCAATGTGGTCAGCGTTGCAGCTGATAGCTAGCCGTGGGAAAGGTGAGCGAACAACCAGCTGCCATCCCAAAGATCACTAGGCAACATTATCTGCTGTCGAGCCACTGCCAGGTCGAACAAATTCTATGCGTGAGAACGCAAGTGAACTTCATGCCTGCGCACGTCACCTTGCGAGACGTGAACAGTTTCGCAACATACTAGTTCCTTCTTCCAACAAAAATGGGAAATCATCGCGGAGGCGCAGGAGCAGGGGTTCTGGGCTATTTCTTTTCTATCCATCGCCGCGTATACAAAAACATCGAGGTGCGGACGCCCAACATGTTGTAAGACTGATTCCAAGCAAGGAGGTGTGAATGACACCTCAAAATTATAGGACCGGATAATTGGTGGTTGGTGGTGGTTAGTGGTTGGTGCACGTCCGGGAGGAGGAGAGGAGAGGAGGAGCGGATACAGCACTAAAAACAAAAACCCAACGCGTCAATGTGCGGAAAAAGTCCAATGCACAGCGTGAGCGGGAAGCTGTGGGGCTTGTCAACGCAGGGAGTTCATACAAACTCGAGACCGCGCTTTTGGCCCTGCAGGTAGACCTGGCAAGTGAACCAACAAACCGTCAGGAAGGGCCACAACAAAAAGAAGATGTAAGAAAAACACACAGAGGCGAGTGGGCAAATGAGTCAACAGGGAACTTGCTCGGTCAACCAGAGCAATGGCACAAGGTGAGGTGGCGATGGGTTGTCCAACGGGGAATCACTTGGTAGGCAACTGTGTGAAACCCAAAGCTGGGACCAAACGTCTTGAGGCTCCCGGATGAGACTTCCGTCACGGGCCAAGGATGCGATTTCAGAACACACCGGTCTATGCCGGATGTCCAGAATCAGGGTTGTCTCGGCTCGGACTGCCGAAACCGAACCAGGCCAGCGGTTCGGTTATTCTTTCACAAACCAAGACCAAAACGGTCACGTTTTGGCTCAAGAAAAAACACGCGTTTGGTCCTATGTTTACCAATCAAGGCGCTGCGCCCAAAAAAAAGGCGCAAATAATGGGTCACAAACTTCAGCCGCGCAAACACATAGTTTCAAGGGTGCGATTCTGTTTAGCCCTACCTGGTTGCCATCCAAAAGTTGAGTTTCATCAGGGCTATCGACGCAGTCGCTCACGAACAGGCCCGTGGTGGTCGAGTGCTCCATGCACTTGGAATCCGAGGCAGTGCTGCGGAATCGTCGGAAACTTTCTGGAGTGGAATCTGTCAGGGCTGCGACAAAGTACTGGTAGGTTTCGGTCTCCCACATGTATTGGCTCCGGTCGCCTTTCATCAGAATTGGCGCCGCCTTCCAACGCGATGCAAAGTGGAGCTCTTGCCGCCCCTTCTCTGCCAGGTCTTTGTACCCGCTGCCGACGGCTTCGATGCAAGCAGCGCACCTCATGTCGAGAATGACACCAACATCGAGACTGACGCTTCAGGCAATCTTTCATCGTTGATGTTCATTTGTATCCACGGACACGCGCGCGTTGTTTGAGAGAACATGAACACATTAACCCGTGCTTGTGCCTTCACACCCAAACCCATGAAACACACGGTCAAAGGCAAATGTAAAACACTTGAAAGCACCTTCGAGGGGTTCTCCCTCAAGAACGGAAACCAACTTCAACTGTTGAACTATCATCCTATCATCTCATCATAGAAATCGCATTCAAGGTCATCTTCGTGACGATGTATCATCAACATTATCTTTCTACCATCACTGTAAATAGCAGTATCAACATCATCACCATCATCGTCACTGTCATTGTCATCGACGCCATCATCATCATCATCAGCACTGTCATCTTCATCAACATCACTGTCACTGTTGTTTCATCATCATCATCCTCATAGTCATATGAAGTGGCACAAACACAAATGATTGGTATGATCGTCACAGGCGCATAGATGCAGGAGCAACACCTGGCATATCGCACCTACATAGATACAGGCGTTTGAATGACAGGTGTGGAGGTATAGGTTATACAGGTGTTGAGACGCAGGCGATAGGCAGGTGATACAGGAGTTGAGATACAGGTGATACAGGGGAGATACAGGTGTTGAACGGAGAATTTAGGCTCTTAAACTCAGTGACGTAGGGTCACAGTCCCAAAGGTTGTAGTTGAAGCTTAGGCACACTTTTAGCTCACGCCTGAATGATCAGGTAGATTAAAAAGAACACAAACTTGAACAAACGGCTGCAGTGAAACATACATCTATACAAGCTATGTCATGTACATGTAACTGGTGCTACATCTGATCACGCCTCCCGAGTTTAACTTCTGGGAGATGTTAAACGAGTCAGGATTAGCACTTAATTAGCTCGTAGCCCTTCAGTACCTCTTCAAGATCAAGATGCACCTACTCTAGCTCAAGCCGTTCACGCTTTCAAAGTCAGTTCATGCTCACCTTCCAAGTAGTGGAAGTTCATGCCTTTCATGGCTGTAGTCATTTTCTCCTCGGTGACAGCTTTCGTTAGCACGTCGGCCAACATTCGGTCGGTGCCTTCCTTCTTGAGACGAAACTCTTTCTTTGCTGTACGCTCTTGTACCCAGTGGTACTGAGTGTCAACATGTTTAGCTCGTCCCAAGCCTCGACGGTTTCCCATGGCGATGCCAGCGGAAGCGTCCATTGTCACCTCTTTGCTGGGAAACAATCCCCAGTCTCTTGCAGTTGATGCAACTCCAAGCATCTGACATGCTCCGGAAACAAGTCCGTAGTACTCGGATTCGCCACTGCTGAGGGAGACAACTCCTTGGCCTTTGCTGTATGTAGTGAGACAGCATTTGTTGGCCATGAGCACGCCTCCTGACACACTCTTTCGTGTCCTTATGCAACCTGCATGGTCGGCGTCTGACCACATGTTGAAGGGGTTGCAGGTGCTTTGGTTTGGAAACAACTGTGCAACTCTTGGTCGATACCTGACATATCGAGCCAATCGTTTCAGCATATTCCAGTGCCTCGATGTTCTGTAGACCTTGTGCCAGCGAGCGCGTTGCAGTTTGCAGATCAGGTCGATCTTGTGCCAGATACGCGGCTCTCATGGCAATAGATCTATACATCGTTGCATCTTCGGCGCTCAGCGGAACTTCTTCGTGTTGGAGTTCCTCTTGACTTGGCTTGGCCAAAGGTGTTTTGACTTGCCTGGTTGACCAGTGCCTAACCACTTGATGATCAACTCTGCATGTCTTGGATCTGGTTCCCACCAAATGCCTTCATTTGACCAAGTGATGATGCGATTCAACACTCTGATCTGTTGGCTTGCTTTTGGTGAACCTGGTGGACCAAGAATGCCTCGTTCCACAACTTGCCATTCTTTGGCTGCTGAAGTGTGAAACCACTTGATGTCATCAAAACTTCCAACGGTCGTGAAATCGTCCCCATGCACTTCTGTTCGAAGTTCTCTGGATGCATGGTAGTAGTTGCATGGGTTGGACTTACCTTGTACAAATCCTAGCCTCTTCATGAACTCTGCAATGGTCAGCTCCCAATTCATGGGTGCGTCTCTGGTGCCGTAAAGGCTTCTGACCAATCTTGCTACCACATCTCCATCTTCTGGTCTCTTTCTTCTGATGGAATTTCAACATAAAGTTCTCTTGTGGCCTTGGAGTAGAAATGAGCTCTCTTCACATCTAAAAATCCTAGAAAAGATTGTTTCGCTTTTCTTCTTTCGCCCTTCTCCAATGGAAGGCTGTCGCTGACTGCAATGGTTAGCAGTAGCTTCAAAGCTGCTAGGCTCGGCATGGCTGCGAAAAATTCGTCAAAACCTGAGCCTCTTTTGATCTCTTGTGCCACCAATCGACTTCTATAGAGAGGATTGGTTTCATCTTGCTTGTTCACATCTACCCATCGAGTTCCAATGATTTTGGTTCCTTTTGGAACTTTGCTTCTTGGGGTCTTCTCCCAGACTCCCATTGATTCGACAATGTCGATCTCATCTTTTCTGGCTTTCTCTACCTTCTCAGGTAGAAGCTCTTTTCCACTGATGTCATCATAGTACCACCAGTCTTTTGCCTCTTCTGCCATTTCTTCTGGCAGTGGGATCTTCTCTTCACACACTGGTTTCTCTGGGTCGATGCTAGATAGCATTCTCTCTCTGTCTTCTAGGATTAGGCTTTCTAGAGCCATCTCAATGCTCTGGATGTCTCTTGTTCTCTCGGCTTCATCTTCATGCTCGCCTTCTGCCTTTCTCTTCTTGTCTCTATCTACTCTGGCTTTTGCTGTAGGTGATCCTGCTGGTTCATGTGGTTCTTCATGTTCTCTCTTTTCTCCATGTGGTTCAGGTTCGCGTGGTCTGCGAATACCTGATGCTGATGCTGATGCTGTGCCTGGTGTTGGTGGTGCTGCTTCTGGTTCGTACCAAAGTTCTGTCACAATGTCCATCTTGTGTGGTAATGCTCCATTGAGTATCTCTGGTGGAAGGTCTGTTGTCGTGACTCCACTCTCAATGATTGCATTGTTTGCATGGTTTCTTGTGACTCGGTGCCAGACGGTAGACCAATCAGGTCCTCCTGGCATTGTGGTTTGAAAACAATAAGCTTCGACGTCAAGTCGTGCGAACACCTGACATGAATCGGGGACTCCCGATGGTCTTTTGCTTTCATATCCATGAAGGATTTGAGGTCTCTTGCCACTGACTGGTTGTGGCATGCCAGTGATTGCCTCTCCAACTCGGCTTTCATGTCTTGCCACTCTTGGGTTCTCTTCTTCTTCTCCTCTGATGCTCTCTTCAAGTCTATCTCGACACCTGTTGGTGTGATGGATGCCTGAAGATCTCTTGCCAATCTGTGTGGCATCACAAGCTGGGCAACCTGCAGTGTACCCAAACTTTTCCAGGTCTTTCTTGGTGATGTAAAGCCTTCTCAGCTTTCTTTTCTTGTCATCGATTGCCGGTGGTTGAACTAAAGCTTCACCACTTGGACTGGCAATTATTGGTTCCCGTGGGGCTGCAATCGCCGGTTCTTCGCGAATTGCTTGAGGATCCCAGGGAATCCCAGTGATCGATTTCAGCAACTCTGAATCATATCGATCTTCTTCTGACTTTCTTCGAATGGACTGCACTCTGAAAACACCTGTGGAGTTTCCTACTATCTTCTCTGCGGTGGTGTCTTTCACTCCTAGAAAGATTCCTTTTGTCCATTGGGCCTCGAACTTGTGACCTCTCTTGAGGTATTCGATGGCCTCACCAAAAGGTGGATTTCCATTCACATCCACGAAGTCGTGAATACGGAGTCTTTCCGTCTTGAAGTTCGGCAGATCGGAAAAACAGGTTGTAGACTGTGGATGCGTGTTCAACTAACCAAGTCAAAATAGGTGAATCGTCAGGAAGTTTCTCACCATAGTTCGACTCGATCGCGGCTCGAAGAGTCCTGGCTTGTCCTTCCAAGGTTTGAACTGCTCGTTCAATCTCTCCCTTGGACTCTTTGACTCCTTTCGGGCTCTTCTCGATGATCAGGGAACCCATTCTTTACTGCCTCAACAACAGAGGTGAGAGCAGGTTCAGGATCATGTCGAATGATCAGTTTGGAGTATCCTAGTTTCTTGATGTCGTTCAGAAGTACTTTGGATCCATATGGACCTTTTGTCACACCCTTGTAGGGTAACACATGAGCAAAAAGATGCTTCATCCATCGATCTCTGACAACAAGAATTGGTGCGTGAGTCTTCCCGTCCAAAACTACATCATCGGTTCGTGAGTTCATGAAACAGTAGTCTACAGTTACATCTGGTGTGGTTTCGTCTGTGTGGTCTACTCTCCTGTGTGGGTTTGCCTTGGCCTTTCCCCTAACGCAGGCCTCACACCAGGAACGAAAAGGAAAGTGTGAAACAACGTGTTCCTCGAGCTCTTTTCGCGTTGGGCGAACTGGAGCGTTGATCTTGAGCTCAGGTGGAATCTCATCACCTGGCTCGGCCTCTGCGGCTTCAAAATCTGCCGGGGCCTCTTCGTCCATCGCCGGACTTACCCACTTCGGTGCCGGGTGAAATGGTGGAACGCGATCGGCACGGAGTAAACTCCGTTGCAAAAGGAGATTGGGATCTTCTTCCCATCTCGAGCAATGTGTCCTCCAGTCTTGCTCATCTGGATGGACCAGCCCTTGTCTGCGAGGGCTCCTGCAGAAAGTAACGGCTTGGAAACTGCCATCGCTCGAAAACTGCACCGTCCCTTCAGGGCTTCCTTGCCGATGCCAATCGTCACCTTGGCGTCGATCTTGCCGAGATCCTTTACGATCTCGCCTGAGGCGGTCTTGTAGACCTTGCTGGTGCCTTCAGGCTGGATAGGCTTGTAGCCCAGTGCGTCTCCATGGATGCCAGCTCCAAACTCTTGAGAGCCAGTGGGTCTTCATCGCCTTCCTCTGGCTCGCTTGAAGGTGTGGGATATCGCTTTCCCTTTCCCTTCTTGACCTCGCGGGCAGCATCTTGAGTGGCCACGTTGACAGCTCGAGTCAACTGCACTTTCTTCTGCTTGACCTTCTCTTGGCCCTTCTGGTGGCCCTTATCGATGGCAGCCGGAGCCGAAGCGGCTCGGCTCTTGCCCGGGGATCGTGACCGGGGCTTCAATCGAAGCGTCTGCCTTGGCGCTTCGCTGAGTTCCTCTTGCTTGGGTCCTGGTCCACGGAATCGCTCCATGTGCTCCTCAGTCGAGCTCTTGAACCAGGCCATGCGCTCCTCCTTGGTCTTGCCCTTCTTCTCAGGAGGTGGAGGTGTCTTGGCAATGCGCCTTTGCTTTGGCGTCTTTGGGCCAACCTCATCTTCCTCCTCCTGCTCTTCCATCATCTTCTGCATATGGGCAGTCATGTAGAAAGTACCTCCTTTCTTGACAGTCTCAAGCTTTGGATCTTTCATCTTCAAATGTTTTGCCACATCTTCGGGCTTCAGATCCATGTCGGCATCTTTCACATGCTTTGGCGCATCTTTTGAAGTTGGGCTGCCTTGCTGTCCCTTGGCAGTCTTGATGCGCTTTCCCATCTCTTTCTGCTTGATTGTCCATTCCTTTGCCCACTGGTTGAGGACTTTTGGTGGGCAGCAATTCAAAGCCATATGATGGTTCCATAGGCCAGTGTCATTGTCACACCTCACGCACGGCAAACCATGTTCTTGCGGCCATCTCTGTCCTTGTGGGTGCATTTGGCTACCCATTCATCATAGCTGAGGATGCGCTCTTGGAACATATGATCGAGCCATGGCACGGTGTCTTTCTCTGGCTCTTGTTCTTCTTCTTGCCCATCTGACTCATCGTCAGCTGGCTCTGTGCCATTCTCATCCTCTTCAACTTCATCTTCAAACTCTTCTTCGCCAAGTCCCTCGATCTCAGTCACATCAAGGGGATTGATGTTCTCCATGACTGGAGCTGCGAAGGATGGTGCGCTTGTTGCTCCTTCGCCTTGGCTTTCGATGCGCTTCATCACGACATAGTCCTCTGGGTTGAACCCAGCTGCAGTGAGCGCCTTGTCGATGACACTGCGGGCTGGATGGCTAGTAGCCGTCCATTTGGCTTTCCCGCTTCATCTCTGCCAACTCTTGAGTGGAGAGATCTTCAATCTTGGGCTCCTTCTCTTTTGGCTTTTCAGGCTTCTTTCCCTTTGCTGGCTTCTTGTAGCCACGATGCCTCTGGGCTCTTTCTCGACCTCGGGGCTGAGGGGCTTCATCAAACTTCCCTTCATCATCTTCATCATCCCAAGCTTGAAGTCGACCAGTACCCTTGGCACGAGCTATCTCATAGTAGTCGAGCTCCTCAGGGTAGTTGGCCTCATAGTCGCGCCAGGATGCAAAACGATCCTGGGCCTTGTCAACGCGATGTTGCTCGGCACGCTGACGGCTCTTCTCCTTCTTCTTGGCCAATCTTGGGCCCATGCCTGATGCCAAATCAGCTGAGAGCCTTGGCGACTCCGCCGGCACCGAAGCGGCGCGGCGAGGAGTTGGCCTCTTCAGCAAAATCTTGGCTTCTTTCTCCTTTTCTTCATACTGCTCTTTCAGCTTCCTCATCTCGGCTTGTTGCTCCAAGATGGCGTCATTGGCCCTTTTACCTTGAGCCTCGGCCTCTTCAATGGCCTTTTGGATCGTCTCGGACTTCTTCTCATACAGTTCACGATTGGACTGCATGGTCTCTTGGATTGCTTGGTTCATGACTGCAATCCCAGCAGCTGCAATTCCAGGACGACCTTTTCCAGCTCCTGGCCTCTTTGGCATAGCCTTGACTTCAGTCTCGGCCTTTGCCTTGGCTGCTCCACGAGAAACTGCGGCAGGTGCTGCTTTCTCCATCTCGATAGCAAAGAGGGTGGCGATGTCAGCGGAATACTCAGGCTCGGGTTGATGCTCTTGAGCCATAGAAGTTTCAGATTCCTCAACTGAAGCTACCTTCTTACTCTTACTCTTGCCTTTACCTTTAGAGTCTTTGCCCTTGCCACCTTTGCCTTTACCCTTGGAGTTTTGGTTGTACCAACTACTCCTGTTCCAATCATTCCTATACCCATCATTCTTGTTCCATGAGGGGTTCCATGATGAGAAATTGGACCGTGAGGAACCTTTTCCCTTCTGTTTACCTTTGTCGTTTCCCTTGCCTCCATCTTGATTCTTTCCTTTTCCTTTGCCGCCTTTTGAGCCACCTTTGCCCTTTCCTTTGGCTTTGGCCAGACTTGCAAGTGAAGACTGCATCTGGCTGGCAGCTGCGGCTAATGCATCAACATCCATTGGCGCTGATCCAGTCTTTGCTTCTCTTCGGCTCTCGATGTTCTCGAGATAGGCTAAAATCTCTGACTTCATGATGGCATAGTCAGTGAGTCTTGAGCTCTGGAGGTCAAGGTGATCTTGAAGTTTGGATGGACACATCTGCTGAAGACAACTTCTTGCGATGTCATCATCAAGAGCTTTCTTCTTTCGCTCTTCGTACTTTCGCCTGATGTTTTCCCAGGCTTCTATGCTCTCTCTGAGCTTGTCCAATGCACACTGTTGTGGGTGCAGGACCTTTTTCAGCAAAGCTGAGTTTGCTTGTGGGTTCTGTGGATCATGCTTGGTGATCAATCGTCTCAATGCCTCTAGGCCAAAGTGCTGACCTCTGGAGGTATTCTTGACAATCTCGAGGGCTTCTCCCTCACACAGTGAGATCAGAGCCTGTCGGGCCTGAGCTGAAACAAGCTCGGCTCCTTCAGGATAATCGTCTTCCAGAGATGTCTCATTGATCTCTGTGTCTTGATGCTCTTCAAGGATCTGAATGCACTTTCCTGCATTCTTGTGACTTGTCTCAATCCAAGTCTTGAACTTGAAGTACCATGAGTCCCAGGTACCTGTGTGTCCACTGAACTTGTCAGGCTTTGAAATGCCTTTCAACTCTGATCTGTCTCTTACTTCTACGCTGGTGGCTATGTTCCTTGTGATCGCCGTTTGTTGTGTGTATGCTTCTGCCATTGCTCGCTGCAATTGGCTCTGCCCCTGTCCTAGGGCTTGCATCATCTGTGCAAATTGCTGTGCCATGTCTGTGGCTTGTTGTGCCTGTGCTCCTGGCTGTTGCGCCATGTTGACTTGCTAGCCAGGGATTGAAGCAATCCGGCTTTCCTGCAAGTGATGCTTGTGCTTGTAGATCTCCGGTGCCAGAGCCGATGCGGCTCGGCAACCTTCGATTCGCAGACGGTAGCCGGGTCTTAGAACCGCGGCTCCGCTACCATGAACGGAGAATTTAGGCTCTTAAACTCAGTGACGTAGGGTCACAGTCCCAAAGGTTGTAGTTGAAGCTTAGGCACACTTTTAGCTCACGCCTGAATGATCAGGTAGATTAAAATGAACACAAACTTGAACAAACGGCTGCAGTGAAACATACATCTATACAAGCTATGTCATGTACATGTAACTGGTGCTACATCTGATCAGGTGTTAAGAACATACAAAATTAATCTACACAACTCCAACTTTGAAATCCTTACCCTTAAGGCGGCGGGGTGGTCGGGCCGGTGCTCGCGACACGCAGCCTTCTGTGGAGATCGTTCGCATCAAGTGCTCAAACGTGTGGTGACATGCAAATTTGGCCGTCGAAGTGTGTAACCGTCGTCGACATGGGAACGTCTAGAGTGGGAAGAAGCTTCTGGGAGCTGTGGCGTCAGAACTGGCAACTTTGTAGTGCGCATTATAGTGCATGCGCCGTGCGGTTTTGCGCGGCCAAAGTGGAAAGTGCGTCTCCGTGAGTTCGCAGGAGACTTGGTAGTAGCATCATTGTGATCTTGATCACTATCATCTCCGCCACCACCATCATCATCAAGCCTCTTTTCATTTTCATATTACCTTTTGTCATCTCCAAGGCGCTCAAAGTTGGCCAAGCCCTTGGTGCCTTCTGCGTTGATCCAGGTCCCGGCCAAGCAGCGGAGCTCGGCAGCGACGGCTGAGACATTCTCCGAGTCCCTGGAGCGATACCGTTCCTGCCAGCAACGAGCATGAAGAGAACTGCCGTGTTCGAAGGCCGAAGGTAGCAAACTCTTCTCAAGAGACAACGTGGCTTCCACATTGGCCGGGCACACGTAGACCACGTAGCCCGTCCCAGAGTCGATGTCCTGATTCCCGGAGCCATAGAGGCTCACCGTTTCATCGGCTGGGACCTTCCGGCTGTACCACATGGCATCGAAGGCGTAGGAAGATTTCAGGTTCCAGGTGTTCATGACATAAGTCCATTGAAGATAGTCTGGCCATTCCTTGAAGGGATCAATCCGCAAATGGGTCAAGTCGTCTGCACTTTGATATTGCCACCATTGCAAGTAGACAATGGAGTCCCATGATGTCGTGATCTCCAAAACAGCGATGTCGACATCTCGTACTCCATATTCATTCCACTGAACTAAGAAGCATCCTTTATTGTATAAAGGACCAAACCTCGAGTCTTCGAACTTATGGGCACTAGTACCTACGAAGACATTGTCTCCGACCGCAATGTCCTCCGATGAAAACTGCTTCACTGCCGGGAGGTTTCCTGTCTGGGTCAAGGTCGCCGCGGGCTCCGGCAAATTCTCGTAGCTTGTGGAGAGGACCGCGTATTTGCATTCACCACAGGCCGAGACGGAGGTGCCTCCGAGCATGAGCTTCTGATCGCACTGCTCGAAGAGAGACTGGTGCAAACACGTGGGATAGGTGGACAGCCTGGAAGCCGTCAGTTTCTCGGCGTCCGCAAGCCTACAAACCTTCAACGAGTCTCGAGGCCAGGCCATGAGCTGTCCGCTCATACCAACACGACGAAACAAGGTGTCGCAAGCACTGAAGGTCCAACATTGCAAGCTCTGCCCAATTGCACCCAACCAAAAGAAGCGACAAGCTGTCTCTTGGGAACAGTATGTTTGGCAGGTGTGAATGTCAGTTGCAACTAAACTTTCCCCTGTTGGATCTTCTTCGGCCAAATGGATATTCAGCAAGTGCTCCTGCTCACACACGAAGGCCCCATCCACAATGAGAAAGGGCGCAGGCTCAAAGCTGTTGTCACTTTCCGCCGGGATCTCTGCAAAGGCGTCCGCGGTCACGGGAGCATTGTTTCCCCAGTCGGGGGGTGCGCAATGACAAGGATGCAACCAATAATCCGCCTCGATGCCGGGAGTGGCTGGATCGTCCAAAATCAACCCGGAGACTTCCGAGACTTCCGCCGTGGCGCTGGAGCCGCGTCGGATGGTCTCGGCCAAAGTTAAGTTGGGAGACCTGCGAGGCGGACATACACGTCTCCGTGATGGATCCGGAACAACAAACATCATCATCGTTGGTGCCAGCGCTGCTACAACCGGATCCCGTGCATTGAGTGCAACCAGAAGAACAACACCAATCACCATTGGTGCTCAAAAGGCCACTTGAGCACCAAGAGTTTGTTGAGCCGATCACCTCAACGGTGAGGTCTGATGAAGAGTCCTCAAAGACTTGTTCGACGATCTCGGAGATTGTTTTGCCGACGCAAGCGACGACTTCACCGTGGTGCTCCACGTAGTTCACGGAGACATTCCAGAAGTCATGCGTCGGATCTGTGGCGCGCAACATGGAACCATAGGTGCCGCTGGCACATGAGGAGCTGGAGCCATCATTGGCTGTAAGCCAAAATGAATCGGCCTCTGTGCGGCCAACCTTCAAGAAGACCTGACCATCTCCACTCTCCCCATAAGGGCAATATTCACCTGACAAGTAGTAGTGGTCATCCATGGAAATGGTCACACAAGAAGTTCTCTCTCCACAATTTGCATATCGAGCTGACACGTCCATGTTGCTGTACTCACAAACATCACGTGTGCATAGACGAGAATACGAATAGCATTGGTACTTCCCAGCATCCTCGATCACAGCCATGTGTGTGCATTGGGCATTTGAACGGCACAAGCCTTTGCACGAAGCTATGTCTTCCACATCAAACTCTCCTAAAGTGGTTCTGGCTGAAAAGCTTGCGCTTTGAGACACCCAGCAAGTGGAATCTCGAACGATGATGTCAAATGCGTCGAACTTCACAGGACCTGCAACTTCACAGCAACTTCTGCAAACAGCGCAAACGTGTTTGATCTTTTTTTGCACCGGTTCAACCCGTCAAAACTTTTTTTGATGGTTTCGGAAGCCACCTCGCCTGTTCCTGTGGACCACTTGTAATTGGCAAAGATCGTGACGCGCAGGTCAAGCTTAGCACGTGTGTCTGCATCAGCCAGGGCATCCACCAAAGCCAATGTAGGTTCCAGCCTCACAAAACAACATCTAAACACTTGCCATATCCAGGGACAGCCACAAGTTCCAATCTTATTGATACAACTTCCCCAAACAGACTCCTAAAAAATATCACGTCGCGTCGCAGAAGTACCATTCCTTCTTGGCTGCGGACTCGGGCTTAGCCCTGATTGAAAGTGGAAACTATGGCGCTGGAGTGGTGGGTTTGGAATGGGCTGTGTTAGTTTTTGTCCTGGTTTTCATGGCGGGCGAATGGTGAGCACTTCACCAGCGAGTCCAGCTCGAAAGAACAATTTTGCGCGCCTGGAACTGGGGCGATGGAGACTGAGAGGGGCACCCAGGCGTGCGAACATTCAAGAACTATTTTACTTCGAGTGGTCCCTACCATGACACTTCAATCTGACAAAATCTCTGGCGTGTAGTGAAACATGCGAGCTTTTTCCTTCACACAAAAGGGGCTGCGGCAGGTCAGAGCTAATGAATGTACTGTACATACTACATGTGATAGACCTTGAAACTTATTCACACTCCTCCTTGGTAGTGTGAGCGGTCAAACGGCTATTTTGGCTCACTCTGCAAACATAGTCCTCTCTATCCATATTGTTCTTCTCCTGGTGGAATGCTCCTCCTCTCAAGAACGGGGTTCCTAGAGGTATCTGATTGCATCCTCTCTGGGTGGTCTCTTTTCATCTCGGCTAGTTCAAACAATCTTTCATATCGATCTATCTCAGAACTCATTGCATCTCCGCTGTCATGTTCACCTCTCAATCTTCTCCAAAAGTCGACCACGCATTAGTACTGCCTGTTCCTTCTCATATTCTGCTCTGATGGTTTGTTCCCTGCTTCCTGGTCTGAATCTTCTTGTCAATGGTCCTTCTGTGGGAATTGCTCCTTCTAAGGCTGCTTTCAACATCACTTTGCGACCGCGATATTCCCCTTCTGTTGTTCTCATGTCTTCCAGGTTCCTTCTGGCTAAGACATTTGCTGCGTTGACCTCTCCCATCATATCGCACCCCATGACCTCCATAGTATCTGGCGCTTCTTGTCCTACAAGTTGTCCTACAAGGCCTCCATTGAGAATCAATTATAGTCTTGGAGAGTGCTTATCCTTTCACCATCACCCTCTACTTGGTCAAACATCCATTCAATGTCTATTGCCTCCAATTTTGTTCCATCAACTCCGTCACCAAGAATGCGCTTCAAATTCATACATTTCTTTTCGCAATGTTTGTAGAGCTTCCACATTGGAAAGGTCATTGCTGCAAAACCAATGATGATGATCATGATAATCACAATGGTCATGACTTCCCAGCCTCCATTGGGTTCCTTTACTCCTTCCAACCCACACTGGTTGTTTCCTTTCTTTTTCATGAATGCTTCTGTAACCATTGGCTGCAAGCCCTCCAACGCTACAATCCTGACAATCATCTGACCTTGCTTGCAACGTTCCTTTCTCTTCATATGCTCTTCTCTTAAGCTCTCCAACTCTTGTTTGCTCTTCATGGCGCCAATAGCCAGAAAGGTTCATCAAAAATCTGATTCTTTGTCCCCCTAAGTTAGGGCTTTGTATTGATGTTTGCCATGTTGCTGACTGTTGGTACTTGTATCATATTGAAGCGTTTCCTGTTCTGAATCTACAGCAACTTTCCATCTAAGCGCCTCACTTTTCCAGCTCCTCTTTTCAGCGCAAGCAGGCGCGCGCTTGATGAACCTGTGAAAATGTAACGGCCCACCGTTGACCCAACGCAAATCCAAGGATTCCATCTGACGCTGAAGAAGCTATTGCGCGCAACACTGCTTCGCATGAAGATAAGCTAATTAATGATCTTCTGTGTCCCGCTGCTACTGAACATGTTCAACGCGTGGAACCCTCCTGACGTTGATAGCTTTCTCCTTTCTTGACATAGCCTTCAAATGCTTGTGGACATTCAACTATTAGACAATAGTCCATAGTCGTCGTCAAGTAATCTAGGTTTTTTTTGAAGTGATGAAACGATGTAGCTGTTGGGTTTGCCATTCTTGAAGCTAACTCTCTCAGTGTAAATGCTACATCGTACCTCGCTTGACATAGGCAGATACCTAAGCCAGCAATTCTTTTAAATAGGATGATAACACATCTCAATTTTGCTCACACTGGTGTCAAACCTGTCTTGGATCTTTGGAAGAACGATTTCAATGATGTACTTGAAACAGCCTGTGAAAATCAAGTCACCCACACGCCCACATGGGTCAAAAGGATGCCCTTCTCATTTCTTCCTGGGCATGGACACTCAGCACTGAGCTTGTAGTTGAGTTCTGTAAAGAAGTCAAACCATGCTTTTGCTCCAGTTCGTTGTTCAGGTAAATTTATCTTCACCAAAAACCTTCTCCTCTCAACCTCTCAAATTGACTTTCAAAGGTCTCCTGTGGAACTTGCAAGAAAGCATCTTTCACATCAAGACAACCTAGCATTTGAGAAAATGTTCCTTCTCCCCTCTCTTGCTTCTTCCTCTTCACTGACTCTCTGCAGGGCAGAAGTTTCAATGCGTGTCCTGAAGTTGCTGGTGAGAAGGTGTCATCTCTCTTTCCTTCATTGAAAGCAAATTCTCTTGCGACTAGTCTTGATCTTCTCTTCCACATTTTGCTTGTTGTTCCACCTTCATGGGGGTATGGTTTCTTCCTCCAGTCATACACATTGCGCGCTGTCAGGAAACTGTTTCCTTCTGTGCTACCTTCTGGTTTTTTTAGCGCTTGCATCTTCTGGAGTCTTTACTCGATCAACCCATTTCTCTGGCTCTTCTTCTGGCTCATGTTCCCCATCACGCCGCAAGCACTCAGGTACATTCACTTCATGTTCTTTTCTCATTCCTCATCTCCTCCTTCTTCCCAGTCTTCTTCATCAACTTCTTGTGCAGCTGGGGATAGCTCCTCATCTACATGACAGAGGTCTTCTCCTGCTACCTTTACCAAGTTGATCTTGACCTTCTTGCTCGAGTCTTCTGATGACTTAAACTTCTTCATAGGACTTTCTTCCGAAGGCGCTGACGGTGATAGCAATGAAGAAGATAATCTAAGAGTATTTGGATTCGGTTGGCCCGCTGGCAATGATGTAGATGGGAATGCTTTCACCTTGTCAAGTGTTCTTCTCATCTGCAAAGAGAACTTCTGCTTCTTACTTAGAGTTTCCTTTTTAGCTTCATTTTTCACCTCCATCTCTTTTCGTTGCTTCTACCGGGATTTCCAGCGGGGCTGGAAACGGTATTGGCTCTGGGAATAATGGTTCTTCTTTTTCTGAATCGTTTCCTCCTTCAAGAGCTTTTGTCATAACTGCTTCTGCATCTTCACCCTTGAAATTTCAACATTACATGCTCTCGAGGAATGTCTGTCTGTGCTGCTGGCAATGCTTCTGCTCGTCTCTTTGTTGCAATAATTCTGCCTCCAAAGTGTGTCTGAATAGGCATTGAAGCATGAACCGGTTCACCATACTCAGCCAAAAGCCCTTTGTGAGTCTTGCCATAGACGGGCTCATAGGGAATTGCGCCCTTTACTTGTTGAAACCTTTCCAACACCCAACTGACATGTCTTGCTGCCAAAGTCCAAAGTGCATGATCTGATCCTATCTTGATGCCGACTTCGGTTGCGAGCCTTCAGTGAAACTCCCTGCAAGCTTCCTCACGCTGTCAACTGTGTTCCCTCTGACAGAAATGATTGATCTCCCAATTTTGAAGGATTCAATCTTGTCGTATCCTAGACTGTGACGAGCATTGTGAGCGTCGACTTTTGCTACACAAGAGCAAGAGATTCAGAAACAAAGTCAGCAAGAGCAGTATGTTGGCTAGTTGCAATCGATGGCCAGACTGGAGGTATTCAGGTTGGGGTATTCAGCAATCGCCTACACGAGTGACAATGAACCCGCAACAAGACAAATCCTAAAGATGCTGATCTTCAGGGATACTTCCTCTTTTAGTGCAAAAACCATATCTTCTGAAGGAATGACTGCATCATCATCAAAGAATTGCTCATCAAGTTCATCCTTTTTCATCGTGCTTTCGCAATATTCAGGCATTAGCCATCTACCTTCTCTTTTCACTAAAGTGGTACTCATCAACTCTGGTGAATCTTCCACTTCTGGAATGACTGTGGGACCCTCATATCGAATGACTCTAACGCGGCCTTGTACTGTCAAAGGGTTTTTTTGCAAGTTGAGTGGCACTTTCAAGTCACCTTTCTCCAATGTTTGCTCTCGACCCTTGATTCCCCAACCACGCGCCATCAGTCTTCCATAACAAAGTATGGGCTGATTCACTTTTGAACTGAAGATCGCATTCTCAAAGAAGTACTTCACGTCCATCAATGTCATGCAAGGATATGTCTACACTTTTCGCACCCCCACTGGGGATACGGGTCCCCTGAACATCCTGTAGTTTGGCAGCTGAATTGAAATATAGCTTTCTTTCTCCATGATCTGCCATGTCCAAAAGAATAATGCTACATCAGCTCCACAGGCACTAATGATGGCCACATCCTCATGCTCTTCCCCAAACCTTCTGACTATGGGTTCCTCATCTGAGATGTCGATCACCTTGCAATCTTCCATGTCTGGCTCATCATCATCATCGTCATCATCATCATCATCATTACCATCATGATCATCATCTCCAATGTAGAAGTGAGTTACTCGCGATCTTCTGATTCATCACGTCCTTCTATTAGGTCAAAAATGATGGGCTCACGGGCTGGATCTCTTGGAACCGGTCGAATATGGTCTTTGAACCCTTTTTCCCCACCCGTAGGACTGTGGGGTTGTTAGATTTTTAGAACTTTGGACTTCAGTACGCCCGGTAGCCCAACTTAGCTCTTCCACAGCACACTGGCCAAAGTGACCCCTGAGTAGCGCAACTTAGCTCTTCCACAGCACACTGGCCAAAGTGATCCCTGAGTAGCGCAACTTAGCTCTTCCACAGCACACTGGCCAAAGTGATCCCTGAGTAGCGCAACTTAGCTCTTCCACAGCACACTGGCCAAAGTGATCCCTGAGAAGCGCAACTTAGCTCTTCCACAGCACGCTGGCCAAAGTGATCCACCGCAACTTAGCTCTTCCACAGCACACTGGCCAAAGAGATCCCTGAGTAGCGCAACGCAGCTCTTCCACAGCACATTTACCGAAGTGATCCCAGGATAGTTGTAGAGTTGTAATGTACTTATCAAGCCGTTTTCTTTTTTTCGGTGGCGGCTGTTGCCGGTGGCGCGGGCGAAGCTGCTGGCAGAGCACTTCACAACTTGCGTGTGGATGCTCAGATTTTTCCCCACCCGTAGGACTGTGGGGTTGTTAGATTTTTAGAACTTTGGACTTCAGCACGCCCGGTAGCCCAACTTAGCTCTTCCCAACACACTGGCCAAAGTGGTCCCTGAGTAGCGCAACTTAGCTCTTCCATAGCACATTGGCCAAAGTGGCACAGCACACTCACCAAAGTGGTCCCTGAGTAGCCCAAAGTAGCTCTTCCACAGCACGCTGGCCAAAGTGGTCCCTGACTAGCGCAACTTAGCTTTTCCACAGCACACTGGCCAAAGTGGTCCCTGAGTAGCGCAACTTAGCTCTTCCACAGCATACTGGCCAAAGTGGTCCCTGAATAGCCCAACTTAGATCTTCCACAGCACACTGGCCAAAGTGGTCCCTAAGTAGCGCAACTTAGCTCTTCCACACCACACTGGCCAAGGAGGTCCCTGACTAGCGCAACTTAGCTTTTCCACAGCGTACTGGCCAAAGTGGTCCCTGAGTAGCTCAACTTAGCTCTTCCACAGCACACTCACCAAAGTGGCCCCTGAGTAGCGCAACTTAGCTCTTCCACAGCACACTGGCCAAAGTGGTCCCTGAGTAGCGCAATTTAGCTCTTCCACAGCACACGGGCCAAAGTGGTCCCTGAGTAGCGCAACTTAGCTCTTCCACAGCACACTGGCCAAAGTGGTCCCTGAGTAGCCAACAGTAGCTCTTCCACAGCACACTCACCAAAGTGGTCCCTGAGTAGCCCAAAGTAGCTCTTCCACAGCACACTGGCCAAAGTGGTCCCTAAGTAGCCCAGCTTAGCTCTTCCACCACACTGGCCAAAGTGGCCCCTGAGTAGCGCAACTTAGCTCTTCCACAGCACACTGGCCAAAGTGGCCCCTGAGTAGCGCAACTTAGCTCTTCCACAGCACACTGGCCAAAGTGGCCCAAAGTAGCTCTTCCACAGCACACTCACCAAAGTGGTCCCTGTTCACCAAAGTAATCCCTGAGTAGTTCAACGTAGCTCTTTGACAGCACACTCACAAAAGTAATCTCTGACTAGTTCAACTTAACTCTTCCACAGCACGCTCGCCAAAGTGATCCTTGTTCACCAAAGTAATCCCTGAGTAGTTCAACGTAGCACTTCCACAGCACATTCACCAAAACGACCTCTAAGTATTGACACCACATTCACCAATCTGATCCCTGAGTAGCTAAACCTAGCTTTTCCACAAATTCACAAACTGATTTCTAAGTAGCTCATCTTAGCTCTTCCACAGCAACCACAGTTCTTAGTAGCACACTCACGAAGTGGTCTCTGAGTAGCCCAACTTAGCTTTTCCACAGCACACTCACCAAAGTGGTCCCTGAGTAGCTTAGCCTTTCCACAGCACACTCAC